CGGTCAGGACCGGGGAACTGTCCAGCCGCCCCCGATTGGCCGCCGCGCGGGCGCCCCGCGGCGCCCATTGGCTGCGGCGCGAGGCCGGGGCGCTGCACCATTGTTTGCGTCACGCCGCGGGAGGCCAAGTTCCAAGAAAACTTGGCCGGCGGCGGCGCGGAGTCCCCGAGATGTCGCCGCGGGGGCGGGGCCGCGGGGGGCGGGGCCGCGGCGGGGGTGGGGGGCGGCGGAGCCCGGAGGGGGTGGGGGTCCCGCGCGGTGTGCCGGGCGCCCCGGTACCGGCACCTGCGGAGCGGGCTCTGGGGAGGCGTCCCGCGGCGTTGGGAGCTGGGGTACGGCGTGCCCAGGTTCCCGGGTGCAGGGGGTCCGGGCACTGCGGCGCTGTGCGGTGCATCCCGCTCCGGGCGCGGGCTACGGAGGCGCTCGGCACCGTGGCGCCCAACTCCCTGCACGTGCCCTGCGGCGGCCGGTGCCAGCCCTTGCAGTAGGCCGGCGCTGCCCTTGAGCTCACTTTGTGCCGGCCGCCAGCCCGGGGCTGCCGCATGTGCCCAAACACGTGCGGGCCGCTCGACTCGGGCCCGCCGGGCGGCCGCCTCGCAGGCAGGGACCTTCTCCGGCCGCCCGTCCAGCGCTTGGCCAAGGAGGAGCGTCCACATGGCGGCTGGGGCGCGAGGGCGGCCGGAGAACCCTAATGCCCGCAGTCCGGCGCCGCGGGGCCCTCACATGTGTGCAGGTCGCGGCGGCGCCGGTGACGCACCCGGGCTGTCGGCAGCACCGCGGGGACAAGCGCCCTGCCGCTCCCTCCACGTCCCTCACGCTGCGGCCTGCTCTGCGCTTGCCTGAGTCCCTGCACGAGGGGCACCGTGTGCCCCAACCCTGGGCCCTTGCTCTGTGGGGGGTTAGTGCTGCCTGTGTCCATCGATTCCCTGTCAGGGAGCCTGCAGCCCCGCCATGGTGCCCGGCACCCCGCGTGCCAGCCGGGCACACAGAGTCCTCTTCGCTGTCCAGGTCCAAATTCATTAGGAGCAGCTTCTTCCTCCGCTTCCTGCGACCCCAAGGCACGTACTTTGCAGTCGCATCCTACTGCTTCAGGTGCTGRGTCATTTGTACCAAACCTTGGGATCCAAACATGCTTGGAAAAGGGCTGGTTCTGCAGTGGGGGGCTGCAGCCCTGGGCACCTCGCTGCCCTTGCTGACGGTGGTGGCTCAGTGGCCATTGCAGCCCATCCAAATGTCCCACAGGGTGACCCAGGAGAGGGTGCAGGGCTGCCTTTCAACTTATTTTCCACAAACACTTGGCTAAGCCAAACTGTGTTTGAGCCCAAAGGCGAGGGATTAGTTTAATGCAAAACCAAACTTGCTTTTGCAGGGGTCTTGGAGAGGGAGCAGGCCTAGTGCGCTCCGGTCGAGCTTTCTTAGGCAGGGCAGGGGTTTGCAGGCTGTTCCCATGGGCTTCGTGTCAGGTTGCCCGCAGTCCTGCAGGGCTCGTCCTCAGGCTGCCTCCAGTTGGCAAAACAGAGCTGTGAAATCCATCTGAAGCATGTACATATCTGCAGAAAACACGGCCTCTTTGCTGACTGTGCTACACGGGAGGGAAAGCATTAAAAGCCCAATAAACTGCTCATAGCGTGCCCAGCACTAATGACAAAACACAGTGTCCTGGAGAGGTTTGGGTGTTGTTACGGCCTATGTATTTTTTTACATACAAACCCGTGGGCATGGCTTGTTTGCTTTCAGTGCAGCCTGGTTTTAATCACTTTGAATTAAGTAACTTGATCCTATTACTTATCTGGCTATGAGAGGGCTTATCGCAGGCTGCTTGGCACATGACAGCGCTCGCTCCGCGCGTGGTCGCGGCCGAGCAGCCCAAGCCCGGCTTGTCTCTCGTCCTGCCCCACTCGTCCTGGGGCTCTTCCTTCTGCACAAGGTCGCTCCGTGAGCCAGGGAGCGCTTGTGCCCGCTCAGCGCCACCAAACCCGCCCGCTTGAGGGCACCAAGGGAAGAGGTCGGCCGTTCCGTGCCGTGTGGATGTGCCCATAACAGCCCTCGTTTGTTTTCTGAGGTTTTCATTAAATTGAGGGCTGGGGTTTATTGACTGTCAGCTTAACGGACATGATGTGGACTTAATTAAAAGTGGTATGGAAATAATATGAACTACCATGCAGAGCACAGTTAATGTTTAGCATCGGTTTTGAGCTGGGGAGAAGGGGAATTAGTGCATCCTTCACTCCTGGAAAAAGGCCAGAAGACCCGGCTTTTTCTCCAGTCCCTGCAATGACCCCTTTGCATGGGTTTGACTCCGAGCCCTTGCCRGCGTCCTCTGCAGAAACCAGGCTCAGGAGCAAAGGGCAGCAGAGCTCAGAGAAGAGCCCCAATGCCGGAGAGCTCTGGAGCGCCCGAGCGGCAAGTTTGCCGTGAGCCTCCCGCTCCGGCGTCATCATAAACAAGGCAGGCGGAAGCGCCCGACRTCCCGTTTAGCTAAAATTAAACCTTGGGAGGGCAGCAGCAAGCGAGGCGAGCAGGGGTGGCCGCAGCGCTGGCCGGGGTGGGCACATGGCGAAGGGCTGAGCCCCCTCGTGCCTCCCGCAGCCCTTGGTCGAGTGGGTGCTGCGCTGGTCACCGCACCTCAGTGACCGCTTTAGGTGGGGGATAACCCTCCCCTAYAGGTGAGTTTTGTTTATTTTGGCCTTTGGGGCCCTCGTGCGTAGGAGGGTGGGCACTGGTGACAGCGCCCTGACMAGGTGGTGACAAAGGAGAGATGCTTTCAGGTTCAAGCCGTGACTTCCCCTCTTGGAGAGGCCTCTGGCGGATGGCAGCGCTGGTCGGCAGTGAATAACAGCTGCTGCTGACACCTCGTGGAAGATGCTGAGAAAGTCTGCGCTGGAACCGCCTTCCGTCTCCTTCCGTCTCCTTCCTCCTTCCCCGGCTGAGCAGCCCGGCCCTCCATCGGACCCATCTCCACAGCAAGGGCCTGGGGAACACGGGCCGGGCCTTGGCTGGAGCCATCCCTGTGTGTCCTGTGTGCCCCGGGCCCTGGGCAACGCGCCGCTCCGGCCGGGGAGCCGGGAGTCGTGTCTTCCCAGAGCAGGGAAAAACCCTCAGCTCTCRTTTCAGCAGCTCAAATCCTCCTGGAAAAGAACAGGGGAAAATAAGTTAAAAAAAGATCTTCAGATATTCCTGGGACACGCAAAMATACTGTACTCCCAGGAATCCCGGGAAGCGGGATTGCCGAAGGCGGCGTACAGGAAAACCTTCTTTGGGGAGAGTGGAGGGAGCAAGGCAGCTTTTGTTTGTTCTGCTTCCTGGCCACTGCTGAGCTAATGTGACTCCATTCTGTGAATACAACACTATTCCAAAACCTTGCTTCCCTTGGGACACTTGGGAGCCCAAGGAGAGTTATGAAATGCCTTGTTTTGGAGAGGAAATCTCTTGAGCAGGCCCAGGATTGAGTTCCTGATACAATAAGGCTGGAAGTGAAAGGATTCGTGCTTTCCCTGCTGTTGTCTGCAGGCACACGTGCTTAATGTGGAGCGTGAGAGCTCCCAAATGTCCACCCTGGCTGATGGGGGGCTGAACTCCCAACAAGTTAAGTCTGTCACTGTTGAGGAGTGGAATAACACAATATTTAGGCTTTGTGCCTTGTTTTAAGCCATGGTTCCTTGAAGGAGGGTGCAGAAAAGGACTCTGGCATGAGTGCGGTGGGCAGCAAGGTGCTAAGTCCATGTTGGGAACAGCGGAGCAGTGCGGGCCGGCGCTCCAGGGCCGTTAGGAATTCAGGCCAAGAKCAGCGGTGGCGCCAGCAGGAGTTGGGCTCCCGTGAAGCGACCTGGCGACGAGAGGAAACTACCCCGTCCRGAGCGCTGTCCTTGTCCTGGGGCGGCCACCCGGACGCCCGCGATAAGGAGAGGGATTTGCTGAGTCAGTGTGCTTGCTTGCCAGCTAAAGTAGAAGAGAGTCCTTTAGTGGTGCCTCGGTCACAAGCCCTTCAGGGATGGTCATAGATCAGCATCAGCAGCCTATTTATTTTGCCTCGGTTTGCAGGCCCAGCCCTCCCTGAAGCCCTGATTTTGGYACTAGCAGTCAATGAGCCACCCTCATCCTTTCTGAAATCCAGAGAGGCTCCTGTAGCTACAGCGGAGATTAAATTTGATCCAGTATATCAGAGGGAAGCTGGAAAATGTGCCCATCCCTAAAAAGGCAGGAAGGGAAAAGGGACATTTCAGGGGAACTTTCTATTTTGTAAGAGAGCAGCTGAGAGGGGTCAGAGAGCTCCTAGTGCCTGCGGATGATCATAGCCCTCAGTTTGATGTTGGTTGTTAAAAATATTATCCCAGATGTATTAATATGACCAGACTGGATTGCATCTGAGCTGAACAYTGTGAGCCTAAGGCAGGACATAAATATAGAAGCAAAACAGCCTGACACAGGAGTCACGTGTCCCCTCCTGCACAGGAAGCGAAGGGGAGAGGTGCGGAGCGGTGTGTGCGAGCGTGTGTGAGCCTCGAGCGCCACTGCCGCGCGGCCTGCGGCGCCGCACGGCCCTGCGGGTCCTGCGCGGGCCCGGAGGGTGCCGGGCGGCAGGACCGCGCGCTCAGCACATTTTTAACCCGGGGTCACGTTTGCCTAGACAAGGTCTGCAATCACCGAGGGCTATTTGTTTGATGTGTTTGCCTAACAG